TTTCCACTAACTGCTCTTAAAATTGTTCAGTCCTATTTTAGCAAGTTTTACTTAATTATTTTGTTATACTACTTATATGCTATAACATTTATTTTTTATTTGTGAAGACAAAATGAGAGAACGGGTGGGTGGACTGGGCTAAGTTTAACTTTTTCCCAGAGAATCTTCTTAAGAAAAAGCAATAGCGTCTGTCGTCTGTGTTAATATTTAGCAATATACATATTCTTCGAAAAATAATAAAATTTATTTATTTTTATTACATAAGTTAAAATAAAGATAAAGAAGCACGCTATGCGTTTGCATCAATTTGAAATTTTATCATTTTAATATCTCATTTAACTCCGAACAAACATCAGAATTATCTTCGCAAGTAGGGAGAATAAACAGAAACAAGACTGACAGAAAAGGGTGAAACGAGAGAAGGTTGACAGACAAAAGAGAGAATGGTAGCGAGAGGGGAGAAAGGGCAGCGAGTGTGGAGAAATGACAGTGGGGATGGAGAAAGGGCAGCAACAAGCGAAAGAAAGGAAAGCCAGTCAAAGAAGAAGGGAAACGGGAGAGAAAAAGGGAAAGGACAGCGAGCGAGAGAGAGAAGACAAAAAAGTTAGAAGAATGGAGGCAACGGAGAGACAGGCAGGGAAAGGTAGAAAGAGAGTCGATGAGGAGAAAAAACAGAGAATAACAGAGTAGAAAACACAAAGGAGCGGGAAAAAGCAGTAAGGGAAAAGAGAAAATCAGGGCGAGAAAAAAGAAAGCAACGATAGAGAAAAGAGGAAGCAGGAAGAGACAGAACAGAAGAAGCAGATAAAGACTGTAAAGAAAATAGATCCATTGAAAGAAGTAGGGAGGTAGTCGAAACGAAAAGCCCGTGTTTTGATCATTTATTATGAAAAAATTAAACATGTCAGTAGGCTAACACAGACAGGAGCGGGAGGACGATTGGATATAAACACAAAAACCAGTAAAAATTTCTAGGAAAAGACAAATAGAGAACCATCCGAAAGATCAACTAAAGGCACAAAAAAGGAAATTGATATCACACCCAATGACTTTTCGTTTTGCGTAGTCAAAAAAAAGAATCATCACCAAAAACGCCAAGTGCATCCCGAAAGCCTCGAAAATAAGGACCCTTTAAATATAGCAAACGCTTAATTAACGAATCATTCTTTTTAACGCACCACCGACCACCACCACGCCAGACCGAAATGCCGAAGGTAAATCCCCCGTCCAAAATAAACGCAGACTCGTCGTCGTCGTGGTTAAAATTACTCCCTGGCTATAACGGGAACGCTGATGGACGGGCATTCCTAATACATATTTTTTTTGGCGGCGCCACCTTGGGAATCCTCAGATTACGTTCCTGTCGGGTGAAAAAATGACGGCAATTTTGTTTCGGCCAGGATGTGTAAGTAAGTACACGTCGACGTGAATTTTTCACCGCCCACGCGTGTTTGCTCTTTTTTTCTTCCTTTCTTCCAGCGAGAGCGAAACGGAGCAAAGAAACTGACCGACCCGAATCATTTCTCGCCCTAATTCGGAGCTCGCAGGAACGTCAAGGGTGACGTTTATCGGACGTGGAAGGAGGGTTGGGTGGATTTTTTATTCATTGGGGTTTGGCCGATATTAAGCCGCATTTTTCATTAAGGGAGGAAGAATGAGAGCGGCTATTAAGATTTGCGGATAAATTCGGTATTTTGAAAGGGTGAAAGAATGTTTTCAGAAATCGTCGGCTTTCGACTGCACTGGTGGAAGTTTATTTCGAAACACAAAGCGCTGACATTGATCGCATGCACAAAAAATAAATATCACCTGCTGCCAACTAATTTGTCAAGCCGTTTTCCCTCTCGAGACACCTGAAGCTGCTTATTAGTCGCGTTTTTCTGATTTAAAAAAAATATGTATCGGATTTTTGCGGCCGAGAAAAATACACATCAATGACGTCAGGTGTAAAAATAAACCAATAAACACCTTGAAAGCAGCCAAGTCTAATAACAATTTTCCTCTCGACGAGAAAAACTTCCCAACAATCGCTCGAGTATAACGCAACCGACCGTCATTCACATTCACATTTACTTGAATCGCGTAATTTCATCCTTGATTAAATTTGGAACGGTCAAACATACTTTTTCTCTCGGTTTTCGAGTATAAACACGATTTTTTAGCGGTTTACGAAACAGACTCAATGCCATGCACGTGGAATTTTATCTGGCGGAGGTTCCACGTGAGATTTATAGTTTTTGAAGGGGAATGGTTGGTGAATGATTTTGATTTAAATCGGAGTAATTTTGGCACAACGAAACGATTTTTTTGAAATCGTGTTCCATCAAATTTCTTGTCAAGCTCAATTGAATTATGAAAGCAGACAATTTAAAGTGAGTCGAATAATTCCCAAGACAAATTACAAGGCTATCAAATACACTGTAGAAAACGTGAAAACATGTTTTTTTCTTACTTTCGGTAGTTTAAAGTTTACAAAATATTAGTCATATTATAATTTAGTTGATGTGAAAGTTAATTAAAAAATAACTAATAATCACAATACTCACTGACCTTCTAGTATATTATTACGTAAAAAAAGCTCATCTGTGCACCACTTGCACTGAGTGAGTTCCTAATCTAATAAATTTATGTGAAAATAATCATTCGTGGCATTCAGTTAAGTTTATGAAATCTTGCAAAGCTTCTTATCTACGATCTAATAAAACATGTTCAAGTCTTTTAATTTTAAAAAGGTTTGACAGTGGAATATTTTTCATTCATTTACAAGTTTAATAGGGGCAAAATCAGGCTTATCTTAGCAAGTAGTAGTCCCACCCACCCGTCCCTTATTTTCTCAGAGTTTATGTGATTTGCCGAAATCAGTCTTATCTGAGGAAGTACTAGCCCCGCCCACCCGCCCCCTGTTTTCTCAGAAGATATGTCATTTGCCAAAATCACTCTTATCTTAGCAAATACTAGCACCGCCCACCCGCCCCTATTTGGTGGCTCATAAAAATTAAAGAAAATCGACTGAGGACGAACAAAAAGATTTCTAGAACATAAAGAAAGTTAAAAGTAAAATTTAAGATTGGAATATGTACAATCGCACGCAAATGTTTTGAGCCTATGGGCGGATCATTTTTGCCGGTCGTCACCGAAGGAGGCGGTCCAAATCGTCCAAGGGCAGAATTTGTAGGTAGGCTCAAACTACAACGAAATTTACGTGTTGACCAAATTCTTACCCTGAATTAGTTTTAATTTTATAAATACTTATTCCGAATTAGTTTTAATTTTATAAATACCCTATCTAAAATGTTCAGAATATGATGAGTCTATACTTGTGATTTACCATTCCATTAATATTTTTTGGATTTGTTTATACATACAGGGTGACTCAAAAAAAAATAATGACTGAGTCAATTTATTTTATTGAAGAAATCAAGTTTTGCAAAACTGAATATTTTGAAATCTTGTCAATTAGTTAAAAAAAAAAACCTGTCCTGCTCTAATAACATCGAGAATATGCTCAAAATCACACTAATATTAGGTCTAATTGTGCCGACCATAGTTATAAAATTCACATTAAAGTAAGTCACGGACATTTTTTGAAGTGTACTACATTTCAAAAAGCAAAAAAAATGTTCAGTTTATAAACTTCTTAATTTTGGTTTAAAGTTTATCAATCATATTTGACGCTTTATTTTATCCGTTCCATTTGTTATCCTTTACTGCGGTCTCTCTTGGGTCGAGGTGTAACATCGGACCGAACGTTCTTCGACCGATAGGATAATTTATTACTTCCGACATCTTTTCGGTGACAAATTTAATCTTTGGATACTTCAGCCTAGTTAGTGAACTCGTTGTGACCACTGAAATATACAAAGAGTAAATTTTGAAATGGAACGAAAGTCGAAGAATACTTTCAAAGCCACGATCAAAATGTATTTGCTTATCTTCGCCAAAAAATGCATGACGTCATCGTAAAATTTGATATGATGAGTCTATACCTGTGATTTATCATTGCAATAATATTTTTTAGACTTACTTCTACAGCCTGTCTCAAAAAAAGGTCACTTCGATTTTCGATTTTTCGTTTTTTCGACCAACAGTTTCATCGAATTAGATTTTTCAGTTTCCATTTTTCTATCAACTTTTCGATTTTATTACTTTCTAATTTTCTGATTTTTCAAATTTGCGGTATTTTGATTTTTCGAGTTTTCAGTTTTTTCGTTTTTCGATTTTTTAATTTTTCGTTTTTTTGATTTTTCGATGTTTCGATTTTTTAATTTGCCATTCTTTCAATTTTCGATTTTTCGTTTTTCCATTTTTAGATTTTTTGATTTTTCTGTTCGTCAGTTTTTAGACTTTGCAATTTTTTTGCATTTTTCGATTATATTTTACTTTCCGATTTTTTTGATTTTTGAATTCTTCGATTTCCGATTTTTCAATTTTCCGGTTTTTTAATTCTTCTATTCTCGATTTTTCGATTTTCCATTAATCATAAAATTTTTCGATTTTTCGGTTGTTTTATTTTTCGACCTTCGATTTTTCAACTTTCGATTATTCGATTTTCCATTTTCTGATTTTACGATTTTTCGATTTGCGATTTTTCTGTTTGTTCCAGTTTTTATGGTTCTGCAATTTGCAGCTTTAAGATTTCATTTTTGTTACTCTCCGATTTTCCACTTTTCGATTTTTTGATTTTTCAATTTTTAGTCCTTGCAATTTTTTTTACTTTTCGCTTTTTCGAGTATTTGTTTCATCGAATTTTCGAGTTTTCGATTTTCGATTTTTCGAGTTTTCGATTGTTCTGTTCGTCAGTTTTGAGACTTTGCAATTTTTACTTTTTCACTTTTCTATTATTTTAATTTCGGATTATTCGATTTTTGAATTTTCGTTTTTCGATTTCCGATTTTTTAATTTTTCGATTTTTCGGTTTTTTAATTTGTCGATTCTCGATATTCCGATTTTCGATTTTTCGATTTTCCAATCTTCGATTTTTCAATTTCCAGTTTTCGATTTTCCACTTTTTGATTTTACGATTTTTCGATTTTTCTGTTCGTCAGTTTTTAGGCTTTGCAATTTGTTTACTTTTCGATTTTTCGATTATTTTACTTTCCAGTTTTTTGATTTTTCAATTGTCGACTTTTAGAGTTTTCAATATTATGAATTTTCGAATTTTCGGTTTTCCTATTTTTCGATTTTTGATTTTTCCATTTTTCGGTTTTTTGATTTTTCAATTCTCGGTTTTTCAATCTTGCGAGTTTTCGATTTTTCAGATTTGTGAATTTCCAGTTTTTTGATCGACCTACGTATTAGATTACTTGAATTTTCGATTTTCGGTTTTTCCATTTTTAGATTTTTGATTTTCCAGTTTTGCATTTTCAGATTTTCTGTTTTTCGCATATCTGATTTATCAAATTTACGATTTTTCGGCTTTTCGATTTTTCGATATTTGATTTTCGAATTTTCGATTGTTCACTTTTCCATTTTTCATCTTTTAGACTTCAATTTTTTTACTTTTCGATTTTCCAAATTTTCGAGTTTCAATTTTCAGATTTTTGATTTTTCGAATTTTTGATTTTTAATTTTTCCATTCTTCGGTTTTTAGACTTCAATATTCTTTCTTTTAAATTTTTCGATATTCGATTTTCCGCTTTTCATAATTTTCGATTTTCAGTTTTCAGACTTTCGATGATTAGAATTTTGGATTTTTCAGTTTTATGATTTTTCGAAAATTTGAGTAGTCGAATTTTTCTATGTTCAATTTTTCAATTTAAATTTTGCGATTTTCAATTTGTCCATTGTCGATTTTTAGAATTTTCGGTTTTTCAATTTTTCCATTCTCAACTGTTAGATTTCAATTTTGTTACTTTCCGATTTTTTGGTTTTCGATTTTCCAATTTTCAGAATTTCCAAGTTTCTTTATTCAGATTTTCCATTTTCCACTTTTTCGATATTAGATTTTTCGAATTTTTGTTTTTCCAATTTTTTGCTTTTTCGATTTTTCTGTTCGTTTCAGTTTTTAGGCTCTGCAATTTTTTTTACTTTATATATTTTGATTATTTTAATTTCCGATTTTTTTTATTTTTGTTTTTGATTTTTTTAATTTTCAATATTACAAATTTTTGACTTTTCGATTTTTTGGTTTTCCCGTTTTTCAATTTTCGATTTTTCGATTTTTGAGGTTTGTGAATTTCCACTTTTCGATCGACCTAGGTATTTGATTAATTGAATTTTCGATTTGTTGATTAGCCATTTTTAGATTTTCGATTTTTACGATTTGTATTTTTCGATTTTCTGTTTTTTGCATTAGTGAATTTCAGTTTTTCCGATTTTTGATTTTGCGCATATTTGATTAATCAAATTTTCGAAAAAGTTACCATACTTACAAAAACTTAGAAACATCTACAATATTTCAAAGTATTCAGTTTTGCTATTCTTGATTTCTTCAATAAAATAAATTGACTCAGTCATTAACTTTTTTGAGACACCCTGTATAACCAAATCTAAAAAATATTAATACAGTGATAAATCACAAGTATAAAACTCATCATATTTTATACATTTAAGATAGGATTTATTCTGCAAAATTTTGAAGTGACGTCATAAATTTTTTAGAGGGGATAAGCAAATATTTTTTAATTAAAAAAGTATCATGTTTATCATGATTTTAAAACATCTGCAAGATTTCAAAGTATTCGATTTTGCAAATTCAAAATTAAATTGCAAAATATTGTTTTATAATTTTGATTTTTTTTCCAAAAATCTGGACGTTTTGGATAAAAATTCAACACGGAGTCATAAATTACATGTGTAGGACTATGTTACTGTATACAATTTAAAACCCATTTACTATGCATAAATTTGAAGTGACGTCATCACATTATTGGTAGGGATGACTAGACAAATTTAATAATTTTGCGACATTTATGAAAAAAATATCAGTTAACAAAAATGGCACGTTTTTTTATTATGCATTATACATGTCACTCAACGACAATATCGTTTTTTTTTTTTAAGAGTATTTTACCAAATGTATATATAACTACTGTCCGTCCCGTTATTGTCAATAAAATTTTATAAGGTAAAATGTGAATTTCGTTGTAGTTTGAGCCTACCTACAAATTCTGCCCTTGAAGGATTTGGATCGCCTTCTTCGGTGAGGGCAGGCAAAAACGATCCGCCCATACGCTCAAAACATTTGCGTGCGATTGTACGTCTGAGGGCTATCGAAAATGTTTTAGCGTTTCATTCGACACGAAAATTAATACTGTGTAGGGATTAAAAAAGGTCTGCAGAGAGATTTTTAAGGAAATCTAGAACATTTCAAAACTAGAACAGATTGTTTGAGAATTCTAATCAAGGGTAGGAAAAAATTGTGTCTAATAAAAAGAAGTTAGGTGATAACTTGATGAGTAATCAACCGAAAATCATTAGATCCTAGGATTTTGAAACATGGATTAACATCAATTAGACTATCCCTTTTCGGCAAACTGCGAAAATCCCTACCTGCGCCAGTTCCCTTGGGATGACGGGCTTGTAGGGTGCGGCTGCATCCCGGTTGACAGCCTTGACTCCTGACACCTTCTGGCCCATGCTCATGCCCCGGGCCCTGCGACGGCCCGTTTTGCACGGCACCACGGCCGCCTTGTACGCTCGCCTCACTTCGCACAGTCTACCGCTGCCCCCGCCGCCGCCGCCGCCGCCTCCGCTGGCTACCACGCTGCTTCTCACTGCGCTGCTGCGAATGCCGCTTTTGTACCTGGAACAGAGAAAAAGAAGACCGTCAAAAATCGCGCCACTTCGAGCTGATGGCTTTTTAATTAGCGCCCGTCGTCCGAGAAAGAGTGGGAAGGGTTTTTTCGGTGCGGTAATGAGCGTTTTTGTCGAAGACGGGTTGCGTAATTTTTCTCCGGCCATGTTTATGTCGCATAAATGGCGCTGTTCGAGTGCCGGGCAGGGGTAATGGGGTTGAAAATTCACGATGGATGCCGCGTTTTAGCGGCGTCGTTTGTCGAGGAAATGGAAACGAAAAGGAAACGTTAAGTTCGATTTATCGGCGATAATTCAAGGGGTAATTTATGGCGAGGTGGGCAGGATGGGAGGGCGGGCGAAGGTGGAAATGGTGAAAGGGGATTTCGATGTCGCGATTTACAATACAGGGATACGTGGATTTTTGTGGGTAGAGGATCAATGGGGATATTGAGTGGCACACAACACCTGCACGTCGAAATACACAACGAAATTACACTTTTTTTAAATTATAATAAAAATATTTGTTGCTTTATTCGATCGGAATTCTCTAAAAATAAATTAAAATAAAACAAATTATTCACAATTCGTTAGTGTCGAATGTTAACATTGGTTATTTATTAAAATCGAATTTAAATAACTGACACAATCAAGGCTGAATGTAGTTCGGTATTCTGCATCCGAAAATGAAAAAAATATACGTCCATATTTCATATAAAAATTAATTAAAATAGCTAAACCGGAGCGTGGAAAAATTGAAAAGGTATTCAGTAAATGAATTCATTTTAGCCATATGCACTGGATTCAAGAATGGCGTCCGATTTAATGTGTTTATGCAACCCAAAATACATTCTCACAGGATACTTCGCGAATTATTCATTTGAATAATTTTTAATGTCAAAATTATCTACCCAATTTTGATAAATGTCACACATAAATCGAAATAGATAGATTTCTATTATTTTGTTTATTGTTACTTGTAAAGTTGAACTTTTTTTGTAAACATTTAGAGTTCGAAACCTAAAAAAAAAATTCTTTGGGTAATTTTCGAAAATGGTCGGAAAAAGTAGAAATTTTAAAAAGGGAAAAATAGAAAAATTTATTATTTATGATTGAAATTACAATTTTTAAAAAACCCAAAAACTCCCATATTTCATGTTGATGATCCCGGAAAAATGGTAGAAATTTTCAAAGTTTCATATTTTATTTGACGACCTCGAAAACGTGGCAGCAACTTTAAAAGAAATTAGCCGAAAATACGTTCGAGAGTTCCAAATCTACAAAAAAAAAAAAAAAATCTGGGCAATTTTCGAAAATGGTGGAACAAATAGAATTTTCGAAGGGAAAACTAGAAAAATTTATGATTTATGATTGAAATTACAATGTTTAAAAAATCCTAAAAACTCCCAATTTCATGTTCACGATCCCGAAAAAATGGTAGAAATTTTCAAAAAATAAAGCCGAAAATAATTTTTAGATGACTAAATCAACAAAAAAGCTTTGTCGGCAATTTTAGAAGAAAAAAATCTAGAAAAAAATTAAATAATAAGATGTTTTTATATATTGCTAGGACGGTAAATGAGTACCTACAATATAATTAATTGCTATAAATTTAAAACGTTGAGAGAGATAAGTCGATCCATCATCATATAGATATGGATACTTTTACTAGGGTGTGCTTACATAATTCGATACAATCGTATCATCTTCAGAGCTACATTTTTTCAATTTTTCTAATTTTTTTTCGATGTAGTAATTTTTTAATTTCCCAGTCCAATTTTCCAGTTTTTCGATTTTACAATTTTTAGATTTTGTAATTTAACGATGATTCTGTAATTATTCGATTTTTCGTCATCTGATTTTTCAGTTTCTCGATTTTCAAGTTTTTCTTTTTTTCAAATTTACGATTTTGCAATTTTTCCATTTTTCAGCTATTCGACTTTTCAATTTTTCTAATTTTTTTCGATTTAGTTATTTTTCAATTTCTCAGTCCGATTTTTCAGTTTGTCACGTGTTGACTTTTTCCAATTTATCGATTTTCCAAACTTTGATTTTGTAATTTTACAATTTCTCGGTCCATTTTTTCAGTTATTGAATTTTTCGAATTTTCAGTTTTTCGATTTTTATTTTTTTGATTTTTCAGTATGTCACTTGTTGACATTTTCCAATTTATTGATTTTCCTAATTTTGATTTTGTGATTTTTCAGTATCTTAATCCGAACTTTTAATTTTTAAATTTTTTGAGTTTTCAATTTTTCCATTTTAAAATTTTGTAATTTTTCAGTATCTTAATCCGATCTTCTAATTTTTCAATTTTTTGAATTTTCAATTTTTCCATTTTAAATTTTTCAATTTTTCGTTTAGTTTTTCATGTCCAAATTTTTAATTTTTCAATTTCTTAATCCGATCTTTCAATTTTTCAATGTTTCTAATTTTTTTTCGAGTTAGTAATTTTTCAGTTTCTCAGCCCAATTTTTCAGTTTTGGAAAATTTTCTAATTTCCATTTTTCCGATTTTTATTTTTTTTATTTTTCAGTTTACATGTTGACTTCTCCAATTTATCGATTTTCCAAATTTTGATTTTGTAATTTTACAATTCTGTCATGTATTTAATTAAGCAGAAATTACCTTCTCGAGGTGTAAATTAACAAAAAAAAAAAGTTTCGGTTCTTTTCGAAAGTGTTCAAAAAAAGTTCGAAATTTGCAAAAATTGAGTTCCTGAAAATTGCCAAAAGTTCACAAAAAAATCTGAGATATAGGGTTTTTTTAAAGAAATGAAGTCGAAAATCACTTCTAAGAGGTCGAAATCTACAAAATCTCTAGGTATTTTCGAAAAGGGAAGAGTATTGAAGAATTCAGCTCTTCAAAAAGCTGCCTAAAAATTCACAGAAAGTTCTGGCATTTGGATCTCAATGAGCAGATTCGAAAAATATAGCGTGTTTTTGGACTCGGACCAAGATTTTCGAAACATACGGTTTGAAAATAGGATTTTTAAAAAATCTCAAAAATTCCCATATTTCATATTGGCGATCCTGAAAAAATGGCAACAATTTTAAAAGAAATTAAGTCGAAAATAGTTCCTAGAGGTCTAAATCTACAAAAGAAATTTCTTTCAAGTAATTTTCGAATTTGGCTAAAAAAAACGTCGAAACTTTGAAAATTCAGCTCTTGAAAAAATTGTCTAAAAATTTACAAAAAGAATCTGGGCTATAAATTTCGACAAGCAGATTTAACAAAAAACATCGCGTATTTATGAATTTGCAGCAAGACTTTCGAAATTTTCGGTTTGAAACTAGATTTTTTAAAATCCGAAAAATTGCGTTATTTTATATTGGCGATCCAGGAAAAAATTGTACGAATTTTTAAAGAAATGACACAAAAAACCCCTTCTAGAGGTCTAAAGCTACAAAAAAATCTCGTTTAGGTAATTTTCGGATTGACCGAAAAAGTCGAAATTTTCAAAAACTTAACTCTTGAAAAAGTTGCTTAAAAATTCACAAAAAATTCTGGCATATAGATGTCGATGCGCTGATTCGAAAAATATAGCGTGTTTATAGGTTTGGACTAAGATTTTCGAAAAATTTGGTTTGAAACTGGTGTTTTTAAAAACCCTAAAAATTGCCATATATAATATTAGCCATCCAGGAAAAATGGTGGGAATTTTTAAAGAAATTACGCTGAAAACACCTTCTAGAGGTCTAAGTCTAGAAAAATCTCTTTAGATAAATAATTTTTGAATTTGGCCGAAAAGAAGTCGGAATTTTCAAAAAATGAAAAAGTTGCCTAAAAATTCACAAAAAAATTTGGGATATAGATTTCGACGAGCAGATTTTGAAAAACATAAAATTTTCGAAATATTCGGTTGTAAGTCAAAGTTTTAAAAAATATGAAAAACTGCCATATTTTATATCGTGGTCTATAGGAAAATCGTCGGAATTTTTAAAGAAATGAAGTCGAAGGTAACTTCCAAAAGTCGAAACCTACAAAAAAAATATCTAGTTATTTTCGAAAATAGTGGAAATCTTCAAAATGAAAAATCGAGCTCTTGAAAAATTTGTCTAAAGTCACAAAAAATTCTGGCATATTGATTTCGATGAGCTGATTCGAAAAATACAGCATGTTTATGGACTTGGATTAAGATTTTCGAAACATTCGGTTTGAAACTTTGGTTTTTCCAAAACTTCGAAAAATTAGCGATTTTATATGGACGATCTTAGAAAAATGGTGGAAATTTTTAAAGAAATTACGCAGAAAAGATCTTCTGATGGCCTAATTCCCCAGAAAACTCCCGTTTGGATAATTTTCGGATTTAGCAAAAAAAAGGTCGAAATTTTCAAAAACTGAGCTCTGGAAAAACTTGACTAAAAATTCACAAAAAGTTTTGGTACATAGAATTCGACGAGCAGATTTGAAAAACAGTATGTTTATCTTTATGGGTTTGGGCGAAGATTTTCAAAATATTTGGTTTGAAATTTAGGTTTTTAAAAAAACTCGAAAAATTGCCATATTTAATATTAACGATCCAGGAAAAATGGTAGGAATTTTTAAAGAAGTGACGCTGAGGTCTAAATCTAGAAAAATCTCTTTGGATAATTTTTGAATTTGGCGGAAAAAAGATCGGAATTTTCAAAAAATGGATTCTTGAAAAAGTTGCCTAAAAATCACAAAAGATTTTGGAATATAAATTTCGACGAGCAGATTTTGAAAAACAATGTGTTTATGGATTCGGATCGATCAATATTTTCGAAATAAATATTCGGATTAGTCATTTTTTTTTAATATGAAAAATTCCCATCTTTTATAGTGATGATTCTAGAAAATGGTAGACATTTTTAAAGAAATAAAAATACCTTCTAGAGGTCTAGAAATAAAGCCGAAAATACCTTCTTGAGGTCTAAATCTACAAAAAAGATCGGAATTTTCAAAAAATGAATTCTTGAAAAAGTTGCCCAAAAATTCACAAAAAAATTTGGGATATAGATTTCGCCGAGCAGATTTTGAAAAACATAA